CCCTTTGTTCTGGCTTTCTTCTCGCTCCCCCCAGCCACTCTTTTTTTTTTGTTTTCCCAACAGCTTTTCTTGTCTCTATCTCTCTTTTTCTCTCTCTCTTCCTGTCCGTGTGTCTTTCCCTGGCCCACCCCTCCTTCCCCGCCCGTAGATGTGTCCGACTTTGAGAACAATAATGATGCTAGAGGGGCAGAGCTGAGTCACCGCCATGACAATCTCTCCACAGTGACCAACGCCATCGCCGGGATCAGCCCCTCTTCCTCCCTGTCGGCCTTGTCCAGCCGTGCCGCCTCCGTCGCCAGCCTCCACGAGCGCATCATGTTTGCTCCAGGTAGCGAAGAGGCAATCGAAAGGCTCAAGGTAAGAGGCCAGGGTCTGCTCTTGCGCTGAGGCTTGCGGAGGGGGCTCAGTATTTTCTGGAAACCCAGTATGGGTGGTGCTCGTGAGAGCAGTGGTCTTGCAGAGCGGACAGACCCAGAGCTGCCCAGTGCTCTGGACTGGCAGATGGGAAAGGGTTTGGTGTGGTAGGATCTGCCTGGTGTTGCTGTCCTCTCCGTGGGGGGATTGCTCCCTTTGCCCTTTGGGCTGGGTGCTCCCGGCTCAGCGTGGGGCAGGAGCGGGCTGGCAGCAAAGGAATGGGGAGGCTGGTCTTCGTGCTTTGCTCTTGGAAGACAGAGATGATGGAAAGATGGGTGAAATGCTGTCGTGGCTCATTTAAACCAGCCTGACACCGGGACCGGTGTCCCACTGTGGCATGCTGGGCAGAGCCTGGCAGAGCAGGCAGGTCTGCTGCCCGTAGGATGTGCTAACCCTCTGCTAACCTCGTGCTCACCAGGAAACAGAGAAGATCATCGCGGAACTGAACGAGACGTGGGAGGAGAAACTGCGGAGGACGGAAGCAATCCGGATGGAGAGGTGGGTGGGTTGGAGTGGGATGAGATGGGATGAGGTGGGGTGGGGCTCCCCAAGCATCTCCCCTCTTCTGCACTTTGCCTGTGCAGTTCAGCTCCTGGGGGCAGCCAGGCAATTTGACCATCCAGCCATACCCTGGCTGCCCCCGGACACCCTAGTGCCCACCACGTTAACCTGCATGGATGTGGTCTGCTCTGAGAAACACTCCTGAGGCCTGGAGAGAACTGAAGCAATCCCTATGGCTGTGATCCATGGGGCAAACCCATGGGTTTGGCTCGTGTCCTGGCCTTGTCTTGTGCTGTGGCTCTGGGGGCTCGTGGGGCTTTGACAGGCTCTTGTTTCCCTTGCTCCTTCAGGGAAGCGTTGCTGGCGGAAATGGGGGTGGCCATGAGGGAAGACGGAGGCACCTTGGGTGTTTTCTCTCCCAAAAAGGTAGGATCATCTTATTTTCTTCTTCCTGGCAAATGAGGGCTGGTTTGTACCCCCGCAGCTCCCTTCTGATCTGCCTGGTTGCTGCTGGCCAACCTCAAATATTTTAGTAGCCTTTTCTTGGCTCCGAAACCTATGGGGGAAATCCCAGTGTTGACCCCGCTGGGGATGAACATCGGTAGAAAGAGGTGACTAAACGTCCAGCCCCCATTGCCTGGATGCTGTCCCCATTCAGGTGGGGCTTCGCTGACGACCACTGCGGTGGACCTCAGTGTCAGCTTATAAAAATCCATACGTTGGCGTGTTTGAAATCGCCGCCCCTGAAACGGGCGAGTGCTCGCTGAGAAGTGTGGGTCCTCTTCCCACTTTATTGCTTGTAGCATCCTGTGGAGCATTTTCTGAGCAAATACTAGCCATGCCCCAAAGAGGTTGTGTGCTGGCGAACCCGGCCAAGCACCAGTCACACCACATCGCTGCCCCTCGCTTGTCCGTATAACCATCGCGGTCACGACGTCCAGTTTACAGCTCCAACCCCATGAAGCCCCCAGAGCAGCACGGGCTGCCAAGGTGCAGGCACGTGCTGGTGGCACCAGGGCGCACTCTCCTGGTTTTCCTGCTGCGCTGAGGGACTGCCCGGGCAGCTGCTGCTGGCTGGCTTGGCCAAACGTCTTAGTAGATGCGTGTGTCCCCAGCTGAGGTGGTGATGACACTTGGTGATGAAGGCTTTGGGACCTTTTGCATGCCTTGGTGTGGCTCATAGGATAAAATTTCGACACCGTCATCTCTTTCTCGTTCTTGTCTCAGCTGCTGCCCGTTAGGACCCCAGACCTTTGTGTAGGAAGTGTGGGGGTTTATTCCCCAAAGCAGGTTGGTCTTGGAGGTGGGGCATTGCTGTGGTGGTTTTGGTGCCTCCTTGCTCTTCAGCTCTCTGGCGGGTGGAAACCCCTCTGACTTCTCCAGTGGCTGGCGAGGAAAGTTAACATTGATAGCGTGCAAAACCCCGCTTTGCTAAGGGCAAAGCCGAGCAGGACTCTGTCATCCCGCTGTATGCCATCGCTGGGGTGGTTACGTCTCCGAGGAGCTCAGTGGAGGGCAGAGCATCTGCCTTCTACTAGCCAGCCCGGCAAATCCGCAAGCCCTGGAGAAAATCCGCAAGCTGAAGGAGTCTCAGACCCCGGGGCTACGTGTCTGCCCAGGTGGGCCTGAGGTTAAATGTTACGGCCAACTTCTTCCTGCCAGCCACTGTGGAGATGAGTCTGCGTTTCCCTTGACCTCCAGCTCTCCTGCACTACTTGGAGCGAGTCCCTCCCATCAGCTGGGGCTCATAGCACCGTCGTGAGGGGGACAGCTCTGCATGCCGGGTGTCAGCGGGCTGATATGACGTTTCTTACAGTGTCTGTTTTTATCTGTGGGGAACTCAGAACTTCACCTACTGATACTCCTGGGACTTTGCCTGTTGCCTGAAGGTGCACACACAGGAGCTTGCGGTGGGGTGAGATAAGGTGGCTGCAGCCAGAGAGGTCTGTGGCCGGGGGAGAAACTTCCCTCTTGTCAAGAACAGTGGTTTGTGACCCAGGGGAAGGAAACGGTGCAAGAGAACTTTAGGAAGGAGACCAGGGTGTGAAATTCAGCCTGGAGATACAGCTTCAGGTCTCCACTACTTTTGGTTGAACCTCTGGTGTAGGACCTGCTCTTTTAGGCGCTTTGTCTGTCTGTGTACCATCAATGGAGGAAAACAGACACTTTTAGTCCCTGTTGTCCTAAACCAGCCACTGCACGGGACGTCTCTGCCTCTGTGGACACACAGTGCAGGCAAGCAGGGTCCCACCCCAGGAGACACTGCGCCATATCGGGGACTCCCCATGGGAAGCGTTCAGCTCCATGTTGGGAGTGTTTGCAATGTGAATTTTCAAAGGCAGCCAGCGGAAGGGTGCCCAGGGCTCAGCCCTTCGAGGAGGGTGGCAAGGAGGCATGTGGTCATCCTCACCCCGGCTGCTTGGTCCTCTGTAGCCCTTTGGGCTTGTACCTGCCTGGACACGTTGTTCTGGAGCTACGGAGGGCCGGAGAGCCCGTCCATGTGCAGGGGACAGCCTGAGGTGCTGCTGAGTTCCCACCTGCCTTGGGAGTGTCCCTCAGTGCCCGGGTAGATGGGGTGCACTGGGCTGACTGCTTGTTTGTCTCTCCCAGACACCGCACTTGGTCAACCTGAACGAGGACCCACTCATGTCCGAGTGTCTTCTCTACTACATCAAGGACGGGATAACAAGGTGAGGGCTGGGTCCCACGGAGCACTGGGAGCCTACCCCATAGCTCAGTGCCTGACTTGCCCAGGTGGGCAGCAGGGTGACAGCTGTCCCCGGGCTGGGCACCATTCCAGGGGCATCCTCAAAGTGCCGTAACCGCGTGGGAAAAGTGTATTTGCCTGTCAATCTCATTAGGGACATTGGTCCTGCTGTGGACCAAGGGCTGCTCCTGCCAGCCCCAAGGACGGTTTTGGGGAGGGGCTGCTTTGAGGAAGGACCAGGCTGGCTTGAGCTGGGTTTTCCCCCGCAGGGTTGGCCGGGAAGATGCGGAGAAGAGGCAGGACATTGTTCTCAGCGGGCATTTCATTAAGGAAGAACACTGCCTTTTCCGCAGCGACACTAAAACTGGCGGTGAAGGTATTCCACCTCCCTGGGGACCCCAGTCCCTTCTGCGTGTACCCAGCACCTGCCCCAGCGGGGGGCCTGCCCTCCTCACACCCATGGGGCTCTCCTGCATGACCATGGCCCCTCTGCACTGCCGGGGTGAGCCACAGCCCTGGGAGGAGAGCTCGCGCAAGGCACGTGGAAGCTGCCGTGGTGGGGCAAGGCAGGGAGATGAGGGTGGCAGGGAAGAGCAGACCGTGGACGATTCCCCTGCCTAAGACACGGAGCAGAGCCCACCCCACAAACCAGCAGGAACCTTTGGGAGATGAGCCCGGGGAGGGTGCAGATGCGTGCTGGAGGCTCTGGTCTCTTCTCACATCCAGTCTCCAGCTGCTTTTGGTCCTTGGGACTGATTAACATGAGGTTGGCCAAGCCCCGTTGGTTGCCCAGCGGGTGCTGCCGGTGGGTATCCCGGTGCCCCCCAGCTCTGCACCTGGGGTGCTGTCTGGGCAGCGTTCCCTTGCCGAGGCTGCCAGGAGCAGTGGAGCGGGAGACGCAGGATTTATCTGTCTCCTTCCTTCCACCTTACCTTCACTCCCTCTCTCCCACGCCCACCGTCTCGGCAGTCATAGTGACCCTGGAGCCCTGCGAAGGTGCCGACACCTACGTGAACGGCAAAAAGGTGACGGAGCCCAGCATCCTGCGCTCAGGTGGGTTCCCAGAGCCGGCATGCCAGCGCTGCTCCAACCTGCCTCCCTCCATCCCACATTAAATCCATGTCCTTTCCTCTGGCCTTGTGTGCATCCCTGTAGGAAACCGCATCATCATGGGGAAGAGCCACGTCTTCCGCTTCAATCACCCCGAGCAGGCTCGGCAGGAGCGGGAGCGGACCCCGTGTGCCGAGACCCCCGCCGAGCCCGTGGACTGGGCTTTTGCCCAAAGAGAGCTGCTGGAGAAGCAGGGCATTGACATGAAGCAGGAGATGGAGCAGCGGTGAGGGCACGGGGGGCTGGGGCGACAGGTAGTTGGGTATCCACCTCCAGGTTGGTCATCCTCTCCTTCCCCATTCCTCCCAGGCTCCAGGAACTGGAGGACCAGTACCGGAGGGAGCGGGAGGAGGCGAATTACCTGCTCGAGCAGCAGAGGCTGGTAGGTGGCCAGGGCCTGGCTGCTTCTCAGGCCGCCCTGGCACGACTGAGTCCTGGCAGATGTTTGCATGGGATGCCTCTATGTGTCCTAAAACTAAGGGCGAACCTGTCGTTCCTGGGGTTGTCCCCCACCAACACGGACGCAGAGGAGGGAGGAGATGAAGGGCTATGGGTTCCCGCGGGAGGGGCGAAGGGCTATGTGGCAGCACGGAGGAAGGCCACACCTTGTGGGCTGAATCATCCCTCTCCCTGCTGCCCCCAGGACTATGAGAGCAAACTGGAGGCTTTGCAGAAGCAGATGGACTCTCGGTATTACCCTGAGGCAAACGAGGAAGAGGAAGAACCTGAGGATGAAGGTGAGGGCTGGGTGCCACTGCAGCGTTTTGATGCTCTCTGCGGAAGCAAGAAGAGTGGACTGCGGGTCCCTTGGGCACCTTTGCGCCGATGCCCTCCTTTCTGGCAGTGGAGTGACTGTCCCTCTGTGTCCCCACAGTGCAGTGGACGGAGCGGGAGTTCGAGCTGGCCCTCTGGGCCTTTAGGAAGTGGAAGTGGTACCAGTTCACCTCCCTCCGCGATCTGCTCTGGGGCAATGCCATCTTCCTCAAGGAAGCCAACGCCATCAGCGTGGAGCTGAAGAAGAAGGTGGGTGCCCAGGGCTCCTCTCTGGCTTGCCATGGCACCCTCGACTGGGATCACAAGTGCCAAGGAGGGGGTGGCCGAAGGCACCGCATGGAGCTCACTGTCCTCCCAGTGGCTCACCGTCCTCCTCCGCCCCTCTCCAGGTCCAGTTCCAGTTTGTGCTCCTCACAGACACGCTGTACTCACCTCTTCCCCCCGACCTGCTGCCTCCCGATGCTGCCAAGGACCGGGAGAAGCGGCCGTTCCCCCGGACCATCGTGGCTGTGGAGGTGCAGGACCAGAAGAACGGGGCGACGCATTACTGGACGCTGGAGAAGCTGAGGTGGGCGAGCGCTGGCAGCGCTGCGGAGGGCTCGGCCGGGCTCAGCCCAGCTCCTCACAGCGGCCCGCCATGTCCCCCTCTGCCTGCAGGCAACGCCTGGACCTGATGCGTGAAATGTATGACCGCGCAGCAGAAGTGCCTTCCAGCGTCATCGAGGACTGCGATAACGTGGTGACCGGCGGAGATCCTTTCTACGACCGCTTCCCCTGGTTCAGGCTGGTCGGCAGGTGAGCGCTTCGGCTCCTTCCAAGCACGGCTGGGAC